AATTGGTTTCTCTTTTCTTTGTTGAAGAGGGTCTGTGTAGCTTGTCTGCCTATTCTGCCATCTTACCGGAAGTCCTCCATCCCATAAGTTTTAGTACATTGTGCTTTCATTTTTCATTCATTTCTTTCTGATTTCTTCCTTGACCCATTAGTTATTTAACAGTGTGCTGTTTAATTTCCACGTGTGTATTTTTCAGTCTTCTGCTATTAATTTCTAATTTCAGTCCATTGTGGTCAGAGAATATACTTTGTAACATTTCAGTCTTTTTACATTTATTGAGACTTGTTTTGTGGTCTAACATGTGGTCTGTCCTGGAAAAAGAGCCATGTGTACTGAAGAAGAATATATGTTGTGCTGTTGTTGGGTAGAGTGTTCTATATATATGTATTACTGGTGGTCCAGTTGATTTATAGTGTCATTTACTCTGTATCCTTACTGATCTTCTTTCTAGAAATTCTGTCCATTATTGAAAGTAGTATATTGAAATTTCCAACTATTACTATTATTAGTGTAGAATTGTCTATTTCTCCTTCAATTCTGTTGGTCTTTGCTTTATACATTTTGAGGCTCTGATATTTCACCCTACTACTTCAGTTTGCATTTCTAAAGAATAAGGACACTTCCTACATAATCACAAAGGCCATTAGCATACATAATGAGTATAATGAGTTAAATCAAATTCATGCCCTGGGGCATGGGAAGACCTACTTTGGGCTGGGGCAACTTGTGGTGACAGGGGAATGGGTTATCACAAGTTGGGAAGCCTATAAAGCCTCTCTAAATTTGTAAATTCCCATTTAGAAACTTTTCCTTTGCCTAGAAAGATACTCATCCCCTTATCAAACTTCACCTAGTTGTTTTATATGCATCTTCCAGGTTTCACCTTCAGTGTAATGTCCTCCGGAAAATCTTTTCTGATTACTCTCCCGGTCTGAATAGGTTCAAATCAAATAATTTATAAGTGACATTTGCCTGCTTTTGTTATTCTCAACTAGAGCATAAGCTCTGTAACAGAAGAGAGATATGACATCCACTAGGAATATGGAGATAATTGCAGGTCCCCTACTTGTATAGCCTCTCCTCAGCTAACTTCTTCAAGATGTTATCATGAGGCCAGTCTGTGGCTTATATAATTTGCTGCCTCACTATCCATTCATTCCCTCTAGTTGGCCTTTCATCCAGTTTCTGATACAGCTCTTTCTATCTTATCACACATTCCTTCAACACTTGTGGCCTCTAACTGCCCCCCCCCCCGCATGTCTTACATGGTCTCATGTAATAAAAAAGACATTACTGTCTTGTAATCAAGTCTTTCAATGGCATGGTTACTCCTTGTCCTTCCTGGCCATTAGTAATATAATTATTGTGATGATATTTCTCCGTATGTCTGCATTAATGCCTAGAACCTTTGAAAATGACCAATTAAGACTTCAGCACATACTAACCCTGAGACCCCACCCTACTGGCCCTCTCCTTCAAGTTTGGCTTTCTGTAGCCTTGTCCCTTAGTGCAACACCCTGTGTGGCCCAAGTCCGGGTGTGCTGTAGTTTCTTCTCTGGGGCCTGTGTTTATGAAATTCTATTTATTTATTTATGCTTTCCTGTGTGAGTCTTACTTCCTTGTACTACACTTGACCATCCAAGACACCTGACAGACCTCCTTCTGTTAAACTTATGACAGATGTGTTATCCAGTTTTGTAGGACCAATCACACGTGGCTTTTTAATTTGAAATCAAATAAAATTTAAAATCTAGTACCTCCTTCACATTAGCCACACTTCAAGTGGTCAACAGGCACATGTGAAAGAGACATGCTGCCTGCAGCCAGTCTAAGCAAATTTAATACCAACTCATCCCAGGCTTCCAGATTCCCAGGGAAGGCCCCAGGTAAAGGAATCAAACCCCCCTCACCCCCCAGACCCAATGACCAAGGAACCTTACCATCCACAAGGACACTGTTTTTGTCCAGGGTGAAATTCTGAAGCTGGGTACCATTCTGGGTCAGCCGCAGAAATTCCTCATAGATGATGATTTTGTCCAGTCTCCGAGTTAAGGGGAAGAAGCCACACTGGGAGTCCACCCCAGTATGGTTGCTGTGGGGAACAGATCTGAAAGCACAGGAGGGATGAACAAAGGTCTGAAACTCTAGAATTTGGTTCAATGTTCCTTACTTCTAGGCTACACCTAGGAAAACTTTTGCCATGATAGAAACGTTCTGTGTGTGCACTACCCAATACAATCATTACTAGCCCCATGTGGTCATTGAGCACTTGAAATGTGGTCATTGTGGGTGAAGAGGTTCCTAGGTGGGGTGAATGGTTTGTGCTTGAGTATGAATTGAATGTAGTGCTGCAGAAGAAAGGCCTGACAATCTGTTTCTGAAAAGATTACAGCCAAGAAACCCTGTGGAGCAGTTCTACACTGTAACAACACATGGGGTTGCCATAAGTTGGAATCGACTCAGAGGTAGGGGTTTTAATTTTTTACTGTGAGCCAATAGTCACAGGGAGAAGGACTTACGGAATGTCAGAATAGAGACCCCTGGAAATTCACAAAAGCAATGAGAACACAGGCAAAACGTAGTCAAAATAAACTTTTTTAGAAGCTTGGAAATTGACCAAAGGTTTTCAACAATCCAAGGAAAATTTATATAAGAAAAACAGCTGACAAAAATTGGTCACTATTCATCTGGAGCTAGAGAGGATAGAGAGTTAGGAATAAAAGGAAGAAGTGGAATGAATGTGAGGTTAATTGCCTCCATGATCAACTGCCTCCTTTGCCATGAGACCAGAAGAAGTGGATGGTGCCTGGTTACCATTGCAGAACATTCTGATGAAAGATTCCTTAGAAGAATCCTGATCAAAAGGGATAAAACATAGAACAGAATTTCAAATTCTCATATGATCCAGACTTTTGAGAGCCATAGAGGCTGGATGAACCCCTAAAACTATTGCCCTGAGATAATCCTTAAACCTTAGGTCAAACATATCCCTGAAGCCTTCTTAAAACCAAATAGTAGTTTAGGTTAAGTAGTAAAGAATGTCTGCCTTGAGCACTGGGCTCCTTTAAGAATTATCTATGTGGGATCAAACTGACAACGACAACTTGAAAGATTAGAGAGGAACCTCAGGGTACAGTGAGTTTATATAAACTCAGAAAAGGAGGGTGAGAATGTTGGCACACCTTGAAGAATGTAATCAGTGTCACTGAATTGTGCATGTGGAAATTGTTGAACTGGTCTATGTTCTACCATGTATATTCCAAACAATAGCAACAAAAAATAAATTATAAAAAGAAATCAACCCCAAAGCAGCTGAATCTTGGTAATGACAGAAAGCTTTGTGGAATTTTAACTTATCCTATTCCATCCCCCTCTTTCTAGCAACCCATTAATCTTGAAAACCAATGTATGGATCAAATATTGTCTTTCCACAGTGTGTATTGAAGTCTTGACCATATGTTATTTGATTTAATGATGAGATTAAATATAATTGGTCTTGTAATGTAAAGTAATGTAATGCATTTACCTTCCAATGCAATCTAATATAATGTAATCTAGGAATCAGTTGGGATCATACCAGTGTAGGGTGGATCCTAAACCTAATCACTTTTCATTTGAGTACACTTCAGCTGGTTTTAAAGTAACAGTCCTATTTACTTAGATTATCTCTTGCTTAACAGTTAAGAACTGACAGATCATAACATGGGACACTTTAACTTCAAGGACAGTAGAAGTTCCCAGAGTCATTAGTTTCTTAGTTGGAACTCACCTGAATGCTATAACCTGACAGTCTGAAAAATAACTCTTGATGCTGCTGTTTTGGAAGAGCTGGTTGAGCTGAAAGACAGGACAATATTTCCTAGGTCAGAAACCCAGGCCCAGTAGCCTCAGTGAATTTTCAGCCACTGAGCCCACTTCCCCATCTGTCTTTTTCTTGTATCAACAAACACTAGCCCAGGTGTGTGTACCAATAAAAATCCCATTCCAGGGCTGACTTAGCTGTGTGCCCCAGGCCCAGCCATTGGAGCTCACTGCAGTGGTCACTATTCATCTGGAGCAAGAGATGAATAAAATTAAACTGTAAAATGGGACTAAGAACCTGTCTTGATGAATTGTTATGAAAACTCACCATCTGACTACCTAGTGTCCTTGGTTCAGCTTCTGCCTGGGAACGGAGTAGATACAGAGCCCATACTCACCGCATCCTCGATACTTCTCTTGTTCCGCTGGTATTTGGTAGAGTGTGGCTGGGCTATGTCTTCGGAATACAGTAGGTTGGTGATGGTGAAATTCAGCTGGTAGTGCTGGGGGCTGGGACTGCTTGTTGGTTTCTCTGTTGGTAGATGAACTGATGGCTTCACTTCTAGAAAATAAAGTTTGTAAACCCCCATGTTATGGGAGAGTTTGACTGAAAGGTCATTCTAACCTGACATCTTGTGATCTGAGCTGACCTTTATTTTATTTTATTTTTTTGTGATTTCGGTGAAAGTTTACAGAGAAAATTCACTTTCCATACAGCAGTTCACACACACATTGCCTCATGACATTGACTACAATTTACCCCAATGCAACAACTCCCCTCCCACTTCCTCGTGATAGTTACCTCTTCCCTGTGTCCATCCCTCCATGCACTCCTGCCCCCTGATCAGTCTCCCTGTGCATAAACAGCCCTTCTTTCTCCCATGATTTTTCTCTCCAAAGAGTATATCTACCTCAGATACATGTTCAACTCATATGCCTGCCTTTTGTTTGGCTGGAAGCCACAGGTGTGGGTTCAATTCCAGACCTGAAGGGCAGCTAGGGGCCATAGTCTCAGTGGTTCCACCAGGCTGAGCTGATCTTTCAAAGGTGGGTTACACCTCTCCACCTTGTCTTCATCGGTTTGTCTACCTGTTCAATTCCCCTTCCATCGAGCAGCATGAGAGAGTTCACTAGGATGTGAGGAAGAGGAGACTGGGCCTCTCTGGGGCTTGGTTGGCAGGTGTGGACCACCCCACTAGGCATCTGTCACCTCCTTTGCCCAAATTTCTGATGGATGACCTGGGTTCCCAATAGGTCTTCTTGCCTTCGGTCATCTTCCCTGTCTCAGTCCATTCTTCACACAGCACCCAGGGGGTGACATTTCTATAGTAAAGCTGTGAGTATGATGTGTCCTTGCTCAAAATGTTCCTGGGACTCAGAGTCTCTGCCCACCTCTTTAGCTTCAACTGCACCCCTTCTGTCTCACAGTGGATGCTCCAGCCACACCAAGCCTCTTACATCTCCCCCAAGTAGGCCACGTCTTTCTGTCCTCTAGACTGGAGCTCTGGTGGTGTAGTGTCTAAGGCATTTGATTGCTAACCAGAAGGCTGGCAGTTCAAACTT